GCAAGCGGCAGCGGGGGGGGGCCGTGCCGTAGCCCTTTTCAGCGGGACCCCCCAGCAAGAGCCGCTCCCGGTTTCTCTCTCCTTCCTGTGCGCAAACCGCCTGCAGTTCGGCAGGACGACCAGCGCCGCTGCTCCTCGCCCCCCCCGCCCTCCAAATCGCATGCCCCGAAACAGCGAACAGGGCCAGCCTTCGCCCACCTCCCCGACAAAATTGCATTAGCCGGGAGGGGAAAAAAGTATATTATAGAGCTTGCTTGGAAAGGGGGGAGGGGAGCACCCAGATGTTAGTAATGCTGCGTCAAGAGGCAGGAGTACCTGGTCCCATTCTCCTCTCTCCTCCAGGGTGTCTTTTAGGACTGTGTGGGAATCAGCTCGTTTTTTCCTCCCCTGCCGGGGTGGGTGGGTGGTTTTCCTGCGGGGGGGGGGGTCTGACTTGATAAACCTTCCCGTTCTGCGAATTGCCCAACCTCGTCTCCCAGCTGTCCAGCCCAGATCCGCCCTCAGGGGACCTGCAGCTGAATTGCATTGCGCAGCCGGCAGCCCCAAGGGTGGGAGAGCCCCTGTAGTTCTGGTGGCCAAGTTGTGGGCCTTGACTATATTGACACAACGGACTGAGCCCAAACAGTTAAAGGCCTAGCAATGGCTTTTGCTTAACTTGTGAACCTGTTTAGTTTTAATCCTGGTTAATGGGGGGCGGGGGTTTGGCTTGGCCTGTTTTGCAAAGAGTCTGTTTGATTAGTTGATGACTCACTGTATCAATATTATTTTGGTAACAAGGTTAAGCCTGTAGTGCCAAGGTAACCACGATGGGAGCAAGAGAGGGCAGAATGATTAAATGCACGGAAAGTCATTGTGTTGACTGTGTTGTATTCATTTAATTTTAGTCAAACTTAAATTAGGTCAGCTAAAGTGCTTATCCAGGTCCCACTTAGGGTGACATGGTCCTGCCCCCTCACCCCAGGGTGCCTTCAAAGGACTGATGTGATTTTCAGCCAGAAAAAGGCTGTCAACATAGTCACATATGTTTAAAAAGATGGAAATATTGCCAGTTCGTAAATTGTTTGGGGGCTAACAGGGATAAGGGCAGGTCGGGAAGTCCCCCCCCCCGGCCAACAAAGGATGAGTCTCTTCTGAATTCTATCTTGCTTACCAAGATTAAGGAATGTTTCAACCCACTTGGCTGGTCTAATGTTTCCCTCCAGGTCACCTCCCTGACTCTCTACACACATTGTACAAACATAGCTTATACAAACCCCCTTATCACCTTCCTAGCCCTAAAACGTGACATGAGCATTGTACACAAACTCGACCTCCCAAGACCTCTTTGGGAGATCTTAAGAGCTTCAAAGTCTCCCACACTGACTCTTCACGGGACAGCCTGAACTACAAAGCCACCCATTACAGCCTAGCCTAATATTTTGTGGGAAGCCACCTTGAGTGATTAGTTGATAATTTTAATTTAGTGGGTCCTGACAGGGGCATCTGTAAAAAAAAAGTCAAGATGGCCACCGCAACTGTGTGATCAGAGTCCTGCCATTTTATGGGTGGGAGGTGTTGATCACATGGTTACCAATTGCAGAGTTCTTTACTTGATGATCCAGGGTTTTAGACAGGACTAAATGCTGAGATTGGTCTAGGATACAAGGCATGAATTTCAGAAAGACCACCTAGGAATGTTGAATTTTTTTTTTCATATTGGTCATGTCTTTACATCTATATTTCTTTCTCTGCTGGTTTCTTTTCCCCAGTTGGGTGGGGGCATCGATGTTTGCCATGTGCCAACCAGAATCCCCCCTCCATCCACAGCTCAGTGAGGCCAAGGGAAATTCACAGCAGGATGTGATCTACCTTAGCAAAAAGGACTGCCATCCAGACAAGAACCTCAACTTCATGGATGAGGAGTCCTACAAGAGTAACGAAAACCCGAGCCAACCCATATCAAAGTTGCCAGTGCAAGACGAATGGGAGCAGTGGAGTGACAATGGGGTAAAGAAGGCATCTGAGAATCTGATTGATCTAGTGCACCAACAGAAAGCAGAGAGCAGCTCTGGAGACATTCCTCAGGACCTAAAGTCCAGTGACAAGTTCCTGGGCTTAGAGGAGGAGAAGGAAGGAGAAGAGGAGGACGTCCGTAGACCACCTGAAGGTGCTGAGGTCAGGAGTCCAGAACAGGAGACCAACAGCCAGGTGAAGGTAAAAGAAAGAAGGAATCTGGCCAGCTCTCCTTTAGAAGATAATGGTTATTCTAGCAGTTCTCTGAGTATTGATAGTCCTGAGAGTGGTGTCACCAATGTTTGGAAGACACCCTCTGTCACTGCTGAAGACTGGACATGTAATGCTGAGCAGCAAGCATCCTGTGCTGACTTTGATAACTCTTCCTCTAGTTCTGAGACCTTCTTCCCAGCACTGAGTGACACTTTCTGGAACCTGCAGGAGAAGAAGTTCAAAGAGTGGGAGAAACAGAAACATCATGTCCACTTAGTGATGTACCGCCGCCTGGCTTTGCTCCGCTGGATTCGCAGCCTCCAGCAGAAGGTTGTTGACCAGCAAAATCGGCTTCAGGAGAGCTTTGATACTATCCTGGACAACCGCAAAGAACTTATCCGATATGTCCAGCAAGGCACGGTGCACACCAAAACCCCAATTCAGGGAGAATTGTAAAAGACAGCTCCCCCCCTCCTCCATCTTTTGATTTCTTAGCTTGGCCTCCCATATAAGGGTCATCAGGATCACAGCTTGCTTGCAAAGTTTCCCCCATGGACTTTCTCATGATTGATGTTCCTCCTAGAACACATCAGCAGGTCATCAGCCATAGACATCCCAAGGCATGTTATTTATGTGGACATATACTTTTTTCAAGAGATTTTCCATGGTGTGTGGCTTTTGTGGGTCAATGTAAATACAACTTACAATGAAATGAAATAAGAGATGCAGATGGTCCTATGACAAGTAGAACCTATGGTTATGGAGAAAAACTGAAAAATCTTTGGCATATATGTTTATAAGATACTTGTTCAGCATCTGAGATGGAAAGAAGCTTGGAATGGGAACTTTATGGGCTAGTGGTCAAAGCTTTGTGCTACTAATTGGAAGACAGAATGTCAGATGCTTCAAACCGTGATACAACTTACATGGCCTGAAATCCTTATGATACAGAAGAGGTAGTTCTGTGCCATTGTTTGATAACCACCCCAAACTGGCTAAATTTCTGTTCTTCCAGGCCATTTCCATACTCTTTGTCTCATTTGCCACCCATATTAGCTTCTTAGCTACTTCCCCATCCTTCTTGCCAGGAACAATGGGTTTTTAGTGGGTTTGCTATCCAAGCTTTCTATCCTAGCTCACCACTTCTGCTTCCAGGTGCCTGCAACTTTTTAAGCCCTTCAAGTTCACTGGTCAGTTGACCAAACCCAATTTGTTTATGTGCTGTTTTTTTGGTGTGGTAGAATGTCAAACTTAGCATGAAAAGAACATCTCCTAGTTCTTCAGTGTCATCTGCTGACCTCAGTTGGTTCCAGTTACCTTCAAGGCTTATATGTTTCACCCAGCATCTTTTGGAGGTGAAATTCATCCTTAAAATGTTTTTACATAACATTTATTTTAACCTTTCCTTCCTGCAGATGACTCTATCAATAACATGGGTACAGATATATAGATGTACATTTCCAGTGTCAGGAATCATATTGCAGAAGTCCTTCTCAAACTGAAAAAGAAAACAGAAGGTTTAACGTTTTTGGCTCCTCGGTGTAAAGAGAATTGTGTGTTGCTTTTCTATATTTTTTTACAGAAGAAATGTATTGCAAGGTGTAGTATGGCTAGAATGGGGTGGGAGAATTGGATAATGGTATAAACTGACTTTACTGATTGTAGCAGTTGAATAATGATTGTTCTCACTAGTGCAAATCAGGAGTGATATGCGCGTTCTTTGAAAAAGGAGAAAAATGTCTATTTGGAGATGTACTTTGCATCTTGATTAGTAAGCTGGTACCTAAGACTTGTGCTGGATAAAATAAATAAGACGACAGAGCGAGAATGCAGTTGACAATGCACTGAATGTGAAATTTCCATCGATTTTGCTTGTGTGTATTATGTCTAGGCAGATGCTCTACCATAAGGTTTCTTTGTTAAGAAAGAAGCTGTTGGGAATACAGGTTGCACTTTAAAATGTTTTGTTTTTTTTAATGTGTGTGAAGGTTGAGATCTCTACAGTTTAAATAGGGTTCAGCAAAGGTTTTCTGCAAAGGGCCAGATTCCGCCCCTCTTCCACCTCTGTGGCTGGCAGGTCTGCAGGTCAAGGAGTGTGGTAGCTATTGGATGGTGCTGGCCCACCAGCAAGGAGGCCGCTGACAGACTGCCACTGCCAGGAAGCCTTGGTCCCAGCCCTTGGCCCCGGCCCTTGCTCCAGGAAGTTGGCTGAGGCTCGGGACCTCTCCATTCTTAGTTCGTAGGCTGTAGAAAAACAAGTGGCAGGCCGGATTTGGCCCACAGACTATAATTTGCCAACTGTTAGACCTAGCCCAAGGAACTCCAAGAGACCATGCAAATTCAGTCCAGCTATGTTTATTAGCTACAACCTCTAGCAAGAATCT